GGTACATACAGTACTGGTGTTGTGTCTACAGTTAGTGGTGTCACATCCAGATGTAGGCATTATCTGGGTACATACAGTACTGGTGTTGTGTCTACAGTTAGTGGTGTCACATCCAGATGTAGGCAATATGTGGGTACATACAGTACTGGTGTTGTGTCTACAGTTAGTGGTGTCACATCCAGATGTAGGCAATATGTGGGTACATACAGTACTGGTGTTGTGTCTACAGTTAGTGGTGTCACATCCAGATGTAGGCAATATGTGGGTACATACAGTACTGGTGTTGTGTCTACAGTTAGTGGTGTCACATCCAGATGTAGGCATTATGTGGGTACATACAGTACTGGTGTTGTGTCTACAGTGTGGTGTCACATCCAGATGTAGGCATTATGTGGGTACATACAGTACTGGTGTTGTGTCTACAGTTAGTGGTGTCACATCCAGATGTAGGCAATATGTGGGTACATACAGTACTGGTGTTGTGTCTACAGTTAGTGGTGTCACATCCAGATGTAGGCATTATGTGGGTACATACAGTACTGGTGTTGTGTCTACAGTTAGTGGTGTCACATCCAGATGTAGGCATTATGTGGGTACATACAGTACTGGTGTTGTGTCTACAGTTAGTGGTGTTCACATCAAGATGTAGGCATTATGTGGGTACATACAGTACTGGTGTTGTGTCTACAGTTAGTGGTGTCACATCCAGATGTAGGCATTATGTGGGTACATACAGTACTGGTGTTGTGTCTACAGTTAAAGGTGTCACATCCAGATGTAGGCAATATGTGGGTACATACAGTACTGGTGTTGTGTCTACAGTTAGTGGTGTCACATCCAGATGTAGGCAATATGTGGGTACATACAGTACTGGTGTTGTGTCTACAGTTAGTGGTGTCACATCCAGATGTAGGCATTATGTGGGTACATACAGTACTGGTGTTGTGTCTACAGTTAGAGGTGTCACATCCCGATGTAGGCAATATGTGGGTACATACAGTACTGGTGTTGTGTCTACAGTTAGAGGTGTCATATCCAGATGTAGGCATTATGTGGGTACATACAATACTGGTGTTGTGTCTACAGTGTGTGGTGTCACATCCAGATGTAGGCATTTTGTGGGTACATACAGTACTGCAGTTGTGTCTACAGTTAGTGGTGTTCACATCCCGATGTAGGCAATATGTGGGTACATACAGTACTGGTGTTGGGTCTACAGTTAGTGGTGTCACATCCAGATGTAGGCATTATTTGGGTACATACAGTACTGGTGTTGTGTCTACAGTTTGTGGTGTCACATCCAGATGTAGGGATTATGTGGGTACATACAGTACTGGTGTTGTGTCTACAGTTAGTGGTGTCACATCCAGATGTAGGCATTATGTGGGTACATACAGTACTGGTGTTGTGTCTACAGTTAGTGGTGTCACATCCAGATGTAGGCATTATGTGGGTACATACAGTACTGGTGTTGTGTCTACAGTTAGTGGTGTCACATCCAGATGTAGGCATTATGTGGGTACATACAGTACTGGTGTTGTGTCTACAGTTAGTGGTGTCACATCAAGATGTAGGCATTATGTGGATACATACAGTACTGGTGTTGTGTCTACAGTTAGTGGTGTCACATCCAGATGTAGGCATTATGTGGGTACATACAGTACTGGTGTTGTGTCTACAGTTAGTGGTGTTCACATCAAGATGTAGGCATTATGTGGATACATACAATACTGGTGTTGTGTCTACAGTTAGTGGTGTCATATCCAGATGTAGGCATTATGTGGGTACATACAGTACTGGTGTTGTGTCTACAGTGAGTGGTGTCACATCCAGATGTATGCAATATGTGGGTACATACCACACTGGTGTTGTGTCTACAGTAAGTGGTGTCATGTCCAGATGTAGGCATTATGTGGATACATACAGTACTGGTGTTGTGTCTACAGTGAGTGGTGTCACATCCAGATGTAGGCAATATGTGGGTACATACCACACTGGTGTTGTGTCTACAGTAAGTGGTGTCATATCCAGATGTAGGCATTATGTGGGAACATACCACACTGGTGTTGTGTCTACAGTTAGTGGTGTCATATCCAGATGTAGGCATTATGTGGGTACATACAGTACTGGTGTTGTGTCTACAGTGAGTGGGGTCATATCCAGATGTAGGCATTATGTGGGAACATACCATACTGGTGTCGTGTCTACAGTAAGTGGTGTCATATCCAGATGTAGGCATTATGTGGGTACATACAGTACTGGTGTTGTGTCTACAGTTAGTGGTGTCATATCAGATGTAGGCATTATGTGGGTACATACACTGGTGTTGTGTCTACAGTGAGTGGTGTCATCCAGATGTAGGCATTATGTGGGTACATACAGTACTGGTGTTGTGTCTACAGTTAGTGGTGTCACATCCAGATGTAGGCAATATGTGGGTACATACAGTACTGGTGTTGTGTCTACAGTTAGTGGTGTCACATCCAGATGTAGGCAATATGTGGGTACATACAGTACTGGTGTTGTGTCTACAGTTAGTGGTGTCATATCCAGATGTAGGCATTATGTGGGTACATACAGTACTGGTGTTGTGTCTACACAGTTAGTGGTGTCACATCCAGATGTAGGCAATATGTGGGTACATACAGTACTGGTGTTGTGTCTACAGTTAGTGATGGCAGTGTGTCACATCCAGATGTAGGCATTATGTGGGTACATACAGTACTGGTGTTGTGTCTACAGTTAGTGGTGTCACATCCAGATGTAGGCATTATGTGGGTACATACAGTACTGCAGTTGTGTCTACAGTTAGTGGTGTTCACATCCAGATGTAGGCATTATGTGGGTACATACAGTACTGGTGTTGTGTCTACAGTTTGTGGTGTCACATCCAGATGTAGGCATTATGTGGGTACATACAGTACTGGTGTTGTGTCTACAGTTAGTGGTGTCACATCCAGATGTAGGCATTATGTGGGTACATACAATACTGGTGTTGTGTCTACAGTGAGTGGAGTCACATCTAGATGTAGGCATTATGTGGGTACATACAGTACTGGTGTTGTATCTACAGTTAGTGGTGTCACATCCAGATGTTCTGTCTATAGTAGTCTAATACATAGATGTAGCAATATGTAGGCACATAACGTATTGCTGTTGTGTCTATAGTAGTCTCATACATAGATGTATGCAATATGTAGGCACATAACGTATTGCTGCTGTGTCTATAGTAGTCTCATACATAGCTGTACGCAATATGTAGGCACAACCCGTATTGCTGTTGTGTCTATAGTAGTTTCATACATAGAAGTATGCAATATGTAGGCACATATCGTATTGCTGTCGAGTCTATAGTAGTCTCACACATAGATGTATGCAATATGTAGGCACAATCCGTATTGCTGTTGTGTTCATAGTAGTCTCATACATAGATGTATGCAATATGTAGGCACATACCGTATTGCTGTTGTGTTTACAGCTTAGTAGTGTCACACCTTCATGTAGGCAATATCTAGGCACATACAGTATTGCTCTTGTGTCTATAGTAGTGCCATACCCAGATATATGCAACATGTGATTACATACAGTACTGCTGTTGTGCCTACAGTACAGTAGTGTCATACACTGATGTAGGCAATGTGTGGGGTCGTGCAGTGATGCTGTTGTGCCTACAATACAGTAGTGTAATATGCAGATGTAGGCAATATGTGGGGTCGTGCAGTGATGCTGTTGTGCCTACAATACAGTAGTGTAATATGCAGATGTAGACAATATGTGGGGCAGTCGTGCAGTGTAGTGCTGTGTAGACAATGCCTACAATACAATACAGTAGTGTAATATGCAGATGTAGACAATATGTGGGGTCGTGCAGTGATGCCGTTGTGCCTACAATACAGTAGTGTAATATGCAGATGTAGATGTAGTGATGCACATATGTGGGATGTCGTGGGGTCAGTACTGCTGTTGTGCCTACAACACAGTAGTGTAATATGCAGATGTAGACAATATGTGGGGTCGTGCAGTGATGCTGTTGTGCCTACAACACAGTAGTGTAATATGCAGATGTAGGCAATATGTGGGGTCGTGCAGTGATGCTGTTGTGCCTACAATACAGTAGTGTAATATGCAGATGTAGACAATATGTGGGGTCGTGCAGTGATGCTGTTGTGCCTACAATACAGTAGTGTAATATGCAGATGTAGGCAATATGTGGGGTCGTGCAGTGATGCTGTTGTGCCTACAATACAGTAGTGTAATATGCAGATGTAGGCAATATGTGGGGTCGTGCAGTGATGCTGTTGTGCCTACAATACAGTAGTGTAATATGCAGATGTAGGCAATATGTGGGGACTCGTGCAGTGATGCTGTTGTACCTACAATACAGTAGTGTAATATGCAGATGTAGGCAATATGTGGGGTCGTGCAGTGATACTGTTGTACCTACAATACAGTAGTGTAATAATATAGCAGATGTAGGCAATATGTGGGGTCGTGCAGTGATACTGTTGTACCTACAGTGTAATACAGTATGTGTGGGGGTCGTGCAGTGATACTGTTGTACCTACAATACAGTAGTGTAATATGCAGATGTAGGCAATATGTGGGGTCGTGCAGTGATGCTGTTGTACCTACAATACAGTAGTGTAATATGCAGATGTAGGCAATATGTGGGGTCGCGCAGTACTGCTGTTGTACCTACAATACATTAGTGTAATACCCTGATGTAGGCAATATGAGGTGCATACAGTACTGCTATTGTTCCTGTTATAATATCCAACGTATACACATATCTGACGTATCCCATTCCTACTTTTGTGTCCAACCAGCATGTGGGCTTTGACTAAACACCGTGTTATCTCATAATTACACATTAACTCCCTTTGACAGCGGTCCACCTAGGCAAAACACCAAACTAATGTGACTGGGATTCTATCATTCTAGGCTAGAAATCCACCACAAAAATTATCGTCTGACTATGACATAATGCCGCCTATACATACCTCCCCCAGACTGCTGTAGATGGACACATAATCCAACTGCTTCGTCCTTGACCTGTCTGACAAGAGTGACAAACGCACCAAGTCCAGGCTGCAGGGATCCAAAAGCGGGTGCAGGCGATGGTCCATCACACTTGAGGACGAACCCAATTGATGAAGAATACAACAAAGCCTGACAGTTTGTAGGAACAGCCTCGGCTGAAATTGTGAAGTTTATAGGTCCATCTACCGCCTGGAGCCGACACGTACAGGAGCCGGTAAACCCGTCCGAGTGCATCCCGTCCAAGTACAACGAGGGCGCCTGTTTGACGTCAGACTGGCACATAGTCACAACTACAATGAGACAACAGATATCAATGATTAAAGGAGCTGAACGTTACATTACCTACGAATTATGGTTTGTATGATACAGTTAGAATGGATAGTTTTCTTCTCGATATGTAATACTTAAAATGGTTGTTCAATCTCAATGAATCTTTAATTCAAAGGTAGAAATATTTCATATCTTCCATGGTGTATAACATGAGTAATTTGAACCAGGGGTTTTTCAGTCAGATGTACGTTTTATCCCTCGATGTATCTCTTGAATACAAAACCGTCTGTATAATGTATCCTACCCAATTTTGTATCTAGTGTGTACCAGTCCATCTGCATTGCGTACCCTATCCGATAACCTGTACATTTACTACACAGTGCAGTGTATTTCGTATCCAAAGTACTGATTTTCTGTATAAAATTCCCTCTGTACTGGGTACCAGATCAGATCTGGTGTGTAACCACTTCCCAACACTATGTATTATCTGTTCCACACCAATCCTCCTGCTGCATTGTGTATCCTAACCAATCTTTTCCCAGTCAAACAGATTCTGTTCCCAAACCGATGTACTCAGTATCCAGCCTGTACAGTGAACAAAATGTACCGTGTATTTAGCCCGATTTCTACCGTCTCAGCCGCATGTATTGTATCATGTATTTTGCATTTACCCCGATGTTTGATGTGCTCAGCCTGGTGTATTGTGTACACGGTGTGATGTATTTTGTATCAGGCTCTTTGTGCAGAATATTTGGCTCGAAGTTTAGCGTACCCAGCCTGATACATTGCGTACCAATGTACTATGTCTTAATCCCTATGTATTGCGTAGAAAGAAAGTATTATGTACAGAGTTTTGAGTAATCTACCTCACGTGAATTTTTAATTTGTACATTTTTGTGAAACATATTACTTATGAAATTTATCAATTTATGTGTTCAAAATACGTTGTGTTGTATTACTGAAGACTGAGTTGGCAAATGAAGCCTAATTTATACATTGTCTAAAAAGCCAGTTAATAATGTTGACCTGTATGTTGAGAAATGACACATTTCTTTCAAATATGCAAGCATAAATACATACCATTTGCATTCACTGGGCAGGTGACGCCTTGTAAAAGTAAGATAAAGAACATGTTATTCATTTGTGAAAATACAATTTTATTATTGCAATAATGTTGCTAATGTATTAACATACAAGATGATAAATGTTACTCTGATCCAGAAACTAATTATAGGAAAAATAAACGTGCACTCAAAGCTGCCTTGGTTACAGTAAACTTGTTTCATCTGAAATAACCCTAACATGTTGCATCGGATGTCAAGACAAATGAAGTGCTTATAAACATGTAGCTCGAGTCAAACGAATTCAGATAAAGGACCAAAATGCAGAAGAGGACAAGCCCAGAACCTAAACGTTATACCTTTGAATATAATTATGTGAATGGTTTCAAATCTTGAAATCCAGCCATCAATTCAGATGGAAGAATGATCTCTTGTTGTGTGCAGATTGTTGTACATGGGTAATTGCCTTGCACAGAAAAACGTTGATTAATTTCTGCCAATTGCCTGATATTTAACAATAAATACGCTATACCGGATCCTGGTGCAGATCCACTTTATGAAAGACGTCGCCTTACCTTGAGTGAGGTGTGGCATCATGATCCACAGTATCCAGTATAGTCCCAGGTTCCATATTGTCTCGATAAGTACCATTTTCCTTCAGCATGATAGTCCAAGAGAATTCTTCGTCTAGATGCATCATCCACGCATTTAAAAACGATGCTTATACCATGGTATAACTTTGTTTCATACCTGCCGGTACCGAAGTAAACCCGTGGCCGTTGGTAACCTAACCGTGCACTGATACTGTCCTATCCACAAGCTGATCTTTACTGTTAACATCCACTATCGATTGAGGGTAACATTTGCCCATTGAAACACGATGCAACATTAAGGTATTGTTGTATTCGCGAGCGTCTGTTGCATGCCTATGAGATTGATCTACCAATAAAATTTAACGTTGCAATTATAATACTCAGTATATTCAACTATTTACTTCCATATGCATCTCTTTCAGTTAAATTTCGGAAGGGTGCTTGGTGTGGGAGAAATATCATGATATACAATTATTTATAAACAACAATATTACACGCAACATGTTTTTAGTCCGAGGTAACAGCGTTCCAAGAATGCCAAAGTCGTTGTACTTTGCCAGGAACAGTGTCATGAACTCCGGATCAAGTGTGTGGGTTCTGAGAATTGTCTGCATCGTACACGTTGTCATGTTTTATGAATGTTGAGTTTGAGAGATAGACGACATCTTCAAGGTATCAGTCAACATTTAAATTTCACGACCAACTGGGCAGCACATGGTACAGGAAGAAAACAAAATATTGGTACCCTTTGCGTGTTATGCGGCTACAGAAAATAGTCCCTGCTTGTAAGCTATACTAACTGACTGAGTTTGGTTTTACGCCGCTTTTAGCAATATTCCAGCAATATGACGGCGGCGACACCAGAAATGGGCTTCACTCATTGTACCCATGTGGGGATTCGAATCCGGGTCTTCGGCGTGACGAGCCAACGCTTTAACCACTAGGCTACCCCACCGTCCCTTGTAAGCTATAAATAACTACTAGTAGTCATATCATGTCATAATACATAACAATTATTTTGGGCCATCTCGGTATTCTGCTAACTCGTCGTGATATAAGGCATATCATCCTAAACGGTGTTAAACCTAACTCACACATCCACTAACTACACAAATGACTATATGATGTTTTTGGACATGGATGCATATGCATGATTATGCACTGCACACACGAATAAATATATAATCTGTTTCGCTTGAGGAACAAATTTAAATGTAATTATTTTCTTCTTGAGGAACAAATTTAAATGTAATTATTTTCTTCCCGCTAGAGGGCGTCGTTATGAGTATATAAGGGAAGGCGCGAATTCTAAGAACATTTCCCCCATGTATCTCGAGGTGGGATAGGTCTGCTGAAATGCCAAACGACATTCTCAGTTGTGGTGCGCTCGAGTCAAGTATTAAGCTGTATATTTGTAACATGGATCAGAACAAACCTATTTCTGACAAGTGAGACGAGATTTAGTTAAAGTTAGACCAATCTAAAGCAGAAATTGCTAAATCTGTAGAGAATAGATTGGAATCGTTTCGTTGCAAATTTGTAAAGACGTCTAACGAACTCACAAAGATAAAGGCTGCTAAGGATATGGTGTGGCAAAAATGAAGGTAATAAGGTCCAACATACTTTCAGTTCTGAGACTTTGGATAGTTTGGAGCAGATCAAGTTTGCCCTTGCATACAAGAAGTTTGATTACGCCACCAAGCTCGTCGATACAGATGTACAACGTATCCAGCAGCGTAATACATTGACAAGGACACTTCTGACGGTGGATGGGAAACTGTAAAAAAATATGTTTCCCGAGATCTCGCGGCTGACTCAGACGACGACGACAAGGGGATTTTGAGGGCTGAAAATAAAGCTGTCCGGAAATTCAAGGCGAGAAATGCGCGTTACACGGGGAGTACCTATAGTAGGCCACGAAGTGGTCGTGCAGCTTCAGCTACTGCCATTTCTGCTGAATCTGTGCTTAGAGTCAATCAGCTCTTTCGGAGGAGGTCTTCCAGCGGGACATGTTTCTCGTGCAGAAGCTTTGAATACTGGCGACATCATCTGGGACGGATACAGCTTTTTGAGAAGGGGGTGTGGGGGTGTGTGGGTGTGTGTGTGTGTGTGTGTGTGCACACACTATTGAGAAAAGGAGGGGTGCACACTTCATTTTCACCCGAGTTTCAATGTTCATTTAACAAACTTTCACCACATAAGGGGGGGTGGGGGTGTGTGCGCACCCCTGCACCCCCCCTCTGGAAGGGCCTATGCATCATTGTCTCTCCACCAGCAGACAGCAGCGATAATTTTGACATGCATTCTAAAAACTTCGTAACACTCAGAAATCTTCTTAAATAACCTTGTTTCATTTGTACCAAATATTATTACATTTTTATTTTGTAATGATTAAACGTTTTAGTTGAAGCTTAATCAAGCACAGTGATTTTGTTGTGTTTTGCTTTATAAATGGTAAGACTTCCGCCCGTATCCCCTAAATATTCATTATGCGCAAAACAAATATATGTCCATGATGTTATCAATGGTCTAGAAGCCATAAAAGTTGTTTTTAAAGGACACGGTGCATACACTCTTTTAAGTACCTGGATACAAACTCGCCTTATCCACCCAGTGCATGTCGTCAGCCATTAAAATGAAAATGGCGGATGTGACGTCATAACTAAAACTGCTAATAGTTTGAAAACTAATAATACTTATTAAAAAATGAACTTCTGATGAATCGGAGTAAAATAAGTGGTACTAACCAACAAAGGGTATAGTCGGGCAATCGAATTTAAGAGATGCTCGAAAGGTGTATTGTCCTAAACGACACAGGTGCGCCAAATGTACTCCGACAGGTGCAGGCCGAAGTTCCGTCTAGTAGAGTGCGTGCTGGTGAGTTGGCGCTTCAAGCACCATCACCTGTTTTCAATTAAGTTAGTGCACGCCTTAGTGCTTGGATCTGTAATAAATACACAATCACATATGTTACAACATATATGGAAACTATGTTATATTTTTTAACATCAATAATTGAATAAATGCAAATAATTAAATGATAAGGGCAATTATAATAATATTCATAGATATTTACCCACAAAATTTGATGAATGGTTTACAGTCAAATGTTCGAATTCTAAATCTGGTATCCCTCTGTAAGCGGCTCACTCATCGGAAATGATTGTGGTACCGGGAAGAGCATTGTCTTATATGATGGGTAGGAGAGTAGATGCGTCCCGTTTCTTAACGGGTACAAGGAAAATTGGCGGCTTTCTCAGCAGATTCCTCCAAATACCCAGGTGCAGTCTACTACACGGACCCGATGGTATAAACATTTACCAAATTTGGCTTCATCTATCTCCACAGTTGTCCCCGGCCCCCCTATTCGTGTATATCCACCAAGTTGTATGTCCTCCACACAAACCTCACGAATAATCACAAATGGTTTCGGTTGAATGTATTTCGCTACATTCCTCTACCTCGTGGGGAATTGAGGTCTCTTTGGCAGTATGTTCGTAGGACAATTTTTGCGCGAAGCAATAAATGAGAAGGAGTGATTTTCGCAAAGAAATATTGCTTCCTTCAAACCATGTGTTTTTTCGCAGGGGAATAGTGTTTTTATTGGATTGTTTACACTTCTTCTTGTTGCATTGGAATCTAAACTGGGTGAAGCGGTGTTTTTTCGACTTCCAACTTTGTATGTTAGTGATTTCTCCCTTGCAATTTCTGCAGGTACTCTTATTTGGTAGTAGTTTATTATCCTGACAGAATTTTCGGGCTGATTGCTCAGTAGAATTCTTAGTGGAAAGAGTGAAAAAGTTCAATCCCACAGTTTTTTTGCTACTGGGTCCAGGAGTGGGGGTGGGACTGTCAGGATGAACTAAATTACCGTTAGCATCGAGATGAGGGAATAATGATGCACTTTCATTAACACTCTCAATGGTGTCCTGTAAGTCACTGTCCGATTGGCAATCAAAAAGGTAATCCAGGGGTGAAGGCGAGGAGGAACTGTGGTCGGGAACCGTCACTTTAACTTCATGGAATCCGAATCGTCAGAGAAATCCAGCCTTCTTTTAGACATTGCTAATGGTACTGACAAACAAAACACTCTCTTTCAAATTTATAAACCTTTATTCTCGTAAAAAGCGTGCACAAATGTATGAAGCATGAAATGTACCAGCAACACGGTTCATGAAGGACACGCACCAACTTTTCAACCATAGACACGCCCACCAATCATGACAATCAAGCACAAGTATTACAATTCAACTCCAAGACGTCATCAGTCGCTGTAGCGCAGTCGGTAAATTGAGTGAGTGAGTGAGTATGGTTTTACGCCGCTATCAGCAATATTCCAGCAATATCACGGCGGGGGACACCGGAAATGGGCTTCACACATTGTACCTATGTGGAAAAACGAACCCGGCTCATCGGCGTGACGAGCGAACGCTTTAGCCACTAGGCTACCCCACCGCCCCAAGTCGGTAAAGCGCAGGACACAGAGGCGCCAGAATCGTATCCCATCAGAATCTGCAAAACATGTGAGTACATATATATGACGTTGTAACGAAATCAGTATATACTCACCACCGGAAGCGAAAGTATTAGAATTTAATGTGGACTGTGGGTAAGAAGGTAGACCAGGTATAAAGGAAGATGCAGGTTGGTGATGGAAAAGTTTTATCCGTGAAGTCGGTAAAAATAATACTTAACAGATACATAACGAAATCCGCACACCCAAATGTCCTGATGCATGTCAGTAACATCCAAATGCACAGCTCCCGCAACATATCCTTACCCGACTGGGGTGGAATGGCTGCCGTTTGTGCTGAACGATTTTTCACGCCGGCTCTACTTGTGATTGCATGCGGAAATATTCTTACCATGTAAAATTAATCTTTTGGATGAAACAAAAGGAAAAAAATATATCATTGTTGAAACTGTAACTTTATGATCCGGTAGGTTCACGTGCGTATTTATGTAATTTTATTGCCTTGAAGTTGACACTGTTACATATAAAAAACAAACAACTTGCGACTTACTTTCTGGACAATAAAGGCACATGATAAAATCCGGTGTAATAAATACAGAATATTGAATGCAACAGTCAATTTTTAAAATGTGTAAATAATAACGGCTTTAATGAATTATAAGCAATAAAAACAACCGGGAATGATGAACCCGGTACTTTGCTTGGGTATACAAATGGCGTGTCACCACGGGTAGCACGAGAAGAATACACGCTCAGCATGTGGACAGAAGAGAATGTTCAACTGTT